GTTTATACTTGTGGATCCAGGTAGTATTTTTCTCATGCTCCAGCCTGGGTGCATAGTTCTTGGCTGCACTGAAGTTTCTGCATATAGCTTCTATGGATCCTTAACTTTATTTCAGAATCAGAAAATATGAGCAGTTCCTGTCTATTGCATACAATAGAATCTGCTGCGCCTATGTTTAATGTGGCTCCTACTGCCCCACAACACTGGAAAAGGTTCCTGTCCAGGCAGAAATACATCTGTGATGTCTATCTTCTTGGATATATATTGTTTCAGGTTGATGTCCAGCTCACTTTCCACACATTTCTGGATGTAGCTTAACACTCACTTCACTCTTTTAGATTGCATCACCAACGATATGCATAGTCAGAATTTTCCTCTGATGATTTTCCACCCTTTGTTACTCAAGTAGGCCTGCATGAGGTCTGCCATCATTATTTGGTGCTTGGCCAAAAGCAAAAAGGTGGGAAGGGGAGGGAAGACTTTATCTTTGCTTAAACATGTATGGAAGTCGATACCTAAATTTAACTTTTTTTTTTTTACTATCACATTTGCAGGTAATTGGTTGATATGGAATTTTTGTGTTTTCTGCTCTGTTCCTTTTGCCTGAATACTAGGTGCTTTATGCCACACACAAGAAATGTCTGTGCTTCAGACAGGTACACTTTTGTTCCGGTGTGTTTTTCTTCAATGCTAAAACAAAAGTGAAGATGATAGAAAAGCAAAGGTTTCAACAATAAGCAGATGGCAAGAATTATGCCTGCAAAGTCTGGAAATATTGCTTTCAACATTCCAGAGCATACTGCTAATGAAATGCAGTCTATATACTTTAATTGGTTTTAGAGATAGATATAAATCTTAGCCAGTTGTTTATTACAATAAACTGTACACCCTGCATATAAAGCAAACTCACAGTGTAAGTGCTGAGAGAACTCCATTTTTGTGGTCTGCAATAACATCAGGGGAACCTAGTTGTACAAAATATTACTTCTAAATGTGACAGTATGAAACACAGCATATTTTTAATGCCTGTATTCTGTGTAGTAAGATCTCTTGTTTGTAATAGTATAAATAAGAAGAAACAATTAGTTTTTGGAGGTTAACATTTCAAAATGAGTAGTTGATTTACAGTTGACAGATATCCTAGAATGGGGCAGTCCAGCATGTGGCCCACAAGCTGCATGCACCCCCCAAGGCCGTGTTCTGTGGCCCTCTTGCTGTTTAGAACCCCTCCTGTCCCCCTCCATCTGGATCCCAGTGCTCCTGGTGAGCTCTCCCAAGGCTCTTCCTGAGACTCAGGAAGGGAGAGGGCTGGGCTAGTGGACTCATGAGAGCTCACCTCAGCATGCCCAGTGCTGCTTCAGTTGATGGCACAAAGGAGCTCATATCCTCTTGGCTCATGTACAAGAGGCTCAGTGTGCCATTCCAAGAAGGAAGAAAGAGCCAGGGAGACACATGGAGGGTTTCTGGATGGGAGAAACAGGGAATAGAGGATGGACTACTCCAGAGGAGCAGACACTGCGCTTGGGCTGTGGTTGGAGAAGCAGCTGCCTGTGATCTCTATGTGTTTATTTTATTTATTAAAACACTTATATGTCACCTATTCCACCAATGACATCCCTGGAAAGTAGGTGTCTTTTCAGTCTGAACATGTTTTCCGGCACACATGTTGCAAAAATGCCCTTGGTCTTTTTTGTGGACGGTCTCAATGATCAGAAAGAGGGAAGCAATGGCCAGTAAAGACTTAAGCCATTTATTTTGCATGGAAAAAAGTTCAGCAGCAGCTGCTGGAAAAAAACTTCATAGTTTACATTCTGATATTTTAGTTCTGATATTTTAAAGGTATCATGCTTTGGTTGTTTTTTGATTTTTTTCCTACAAATATCTCTACAACCAATGAATATAGCTCAACAAGGAAGGAAATGATGGATAAAAAATAAGAAAAACTACTGAAGGTCTTGTGGGGTTTCCATAACAAAGCCTTCACTCTTAGCAGATATTTTATTTATATAATGTATCAGAAGACTGGAAGAAATCCTGGCAGGAATTGAACAGATGAACATGTTCAAATCATCCATGACAAATGTATTGCTGGATCTATGGCAGTATGGATTTAATGTTAAGCTGGGCTCCTGCTTGCAGTACAAAACACCTATATAGTTGCACTAAAGCTATAGCCCAAGAAGCCTAAAAACCCATGCTTTTTATTCTTCATATTTATAAATATATGAAGTATTAGTGCTCTACTCACAGAATCTGGGTCTGCTAACTAGACTTAGGCTGCCATCCTGCATCTTTACCTCAGAGTAAGTTCCACTGAACTCAATGAAACTTAATTTTGAGGAGATACAAGGAAGATCACACTGTAAGTCTGCTTGGATTTCATTTTTATATTTTGAAGTAGAAGTCAAAACATTTTGAAAAATCCACTAATTTAAACCCAACTTTCTATTGCCTTTTTTCTTGTGGTACCTCATGCAAGGAAGTGACAGTCACCTTCAGGAACCTGACTGAGCAAACAGCTATCGCATGAGGCCTCTGGCAAATTTCAGTAATTGGAAACTTCTTATTTATTTTTTTATATTAGAAATCCCTGCTGGTTCTTTCATGCACTTAGTAGTGTTAACTGCAGCATGCTTCAAGGACTATGTAGATTTTCTCTTGACCTTTGGAAAAATTCCAGGTAACTTTCTGTTCTTGGGAAAAGTTCAAAAGAAATCCATGTATGTGCATAAATAATGTGCATGTGTTCAAAGCACTGTGGCATCTTCGGTGATGGCAGGTACTTGGCAGCCAAACCTCTTGAAGTTTAGCATCTGAAAAAATTATTCTGTGTGCTCTAAGAAGTGAACTAGTCCTCTCCTTAATACAAGCATCTGGATATGAACTTCAGGAGGGTCAACTCTCAGTGAGATCCAGCATGGTTAAGAATGAGAGGGTGGGTCTCAGGAGCAGCTTTATGTAAGCCGCTTTCAGTTTCTGGGAAAGGGAAAAGGGAGGATATATAAAAGAAAAATACTTCTAAAGTGGCTCACTAACAATTTGCTTCCCCGTTGAAACTTGAGAGGGTATGCAGTGCATGCTTTCCAGAACGAAAAAGAACGAGGGTGGAGGTTTTATTATTACCAGGCCTTTTAAAAAAAGTACACCTAAAAAATAGGGACATCCCTGAAAAGGAATGGTAGCATTGGAAGACAGTAAATGGACCAGAACTCAAACAATGATTAGCTTAGCCTTTTACTGATGTGCCATCTTTCCACAAAAGAAACTGTATCCATGGTGGTACACAATATACAAAATATACTTGTTTGTTTTGCTCTTTTGTGAGTGCTGTGCCTTAAATAAATCCAGTAAATAAACAAATAGTGCTTGATTGATGCACTATTCTGCCTTTGTCATAGATATGGTTTGTCTTTATCATATCCTAAGTAGCTAAGGGTAAGCAACCTAGTAAATAATTTCCAAAAAGTAACTGAAGCAGAGCTGGGGTAACATCCAACTTTCTGGAACAGAGTTGGAGGCTGTGGGATGTTTCAGGTGAAGACAGAATGACCCCTGGCTGGGCCCCCAGTTGAAGGCCTGAACTGGATTTTACCCTTAAAATTTTACCTGGATTTAAACACACACACACACACACACACACACACACAGAGAGAGAGAGAGAGAGAGAGAGAGAGAGAGAGAGAGAGAGAGAGAGAGGGATCTTAAAGTCTACTATATTGATTGAGGCGTAAACTTTTGTGGGCAAGGACCCTCTTTGTCAATTGCATGAAATATTTTTATTGCCTGGAAAATATACTCAGTGGTTATTCTTTGCTTCTTATCAAGGACGACTCAACTAACCCCATCTCTGATCCCATTTCATTGGCAAGTGTCTACATTTTTATTTTACTAGGTCTTTAGCCCATAAGCTGACTTTTAATTGTATTCTAATTGCTTTTAACTGATTTATTTTATTATGTTTTACCTGGCATGTGTTTATATTTTTTACTTTGTATTTTATTGAGGCTTTATTGTATTTGATTCAGCAAACCAAGTTGAGTACCATTTGCTGCAGAATTAGCATACACATTCAAGAAATAAAGATAGAAGAGGGAATGTGAGGTAAAGAAATAGAGCATGAGGCCAGGAGGGCCACTAATGAGAGAGATAGATATGTTTCATTACTGCTGTAGAACACAAATGCAAATAAAAGTCAATACAAAGTTGGAAAGAACCAAATGGAATGTATTTGACTTCCTCTCAAGTGGTGACAAAGAGGCAAACTGATTGGTGTGCAGAAAAGAATAACTCCATGAGAAACAAGGTTAGTCTGAAGTTTTAAGTTTGTGAGCCTGCTCAAACAGATACTGCAAGTGCTACAAACATTGTGCAACTATTCTGTCTTTTCCCTATTAGTAGATTTTTTTGTTTAATGAAAAAGAAGGAAAAATCAGAGGAAAAACCTTTGGAAAAGAGGGTTATATGCAGAAGACTACACTGAGTGGCTACTGTAAAATTTTGTGACTAAGGCAAGGAGAGAACATGGTAAAAGCCTTGACTGGGAGAATCCAAAAGTATGTTTTCAGCAAAACTGCAGAACATTTTTGTCCTTTTTGCATGCCGTACTGTTGATTGCTTTTCTTTCACGATTGTACATTTCAAAAGAAATATTCAGCAATCTCCTTTGTGTTTCATCTCTTTGTTCATTGTGTATTTGGTTAACACATTATGAACTTGGTATGAAAAACAGTCTCAATGATTTTCAGTGTGATGAAGTTTAACATAATTTAGTTTGCTTTACTGTTGTTGCACAGAAGCTTAGTAGTGGGGTAAAATCTCTGACTGGTTATATGTTTTTTGTAGCTCCATCTTTTGGGGTTTACAGTTGTATTAAAGACAGTGGAAGCAAGCTTATAAATTTATAACTTATACATTGCCCTATGCTGTAACCTAGGTTCTCAAGGCAATGTACACAATAAAAACAAATCAGTAAAATAATCAACATCAATACAGGCAGTCCCTGAGTTATGAATGTTTAAGTTATGAACAAGCTGTACTTATGAACAGGCCATAAAGCCTATTAATTTTTTAAAAAATACTGTGGGAAATCATTACCATAGAGAGAGAAGTGAAAGGGGAGAGAGGGAGACCTTCAAAGCATCACCATAAGAGAGAGAAGAAATGAGAAAGGAGAAAGGGAGGGCTTCCAAAACATGCCTTCTTGCCCTGCCCATCTGGAGAGGCCAATCTCTCTACCATTTCTTGCTGCAAAGAGGAGGCACTGGTGATTTTGGGCGGTGTGTGAGGGGAGGGGAGACCAGAGATATTAATGGTTTTTCCACTTTCCCAGGGTTCTTGTACCCCTAAACACCACAGATGTGGTGGGCTGACTATAAGTGAGCCAACTTACCTACAAATTCAACTTAAAGACAAATTCCATTTTCTCAGGAACAAAACTTGTTTGTAACCAAGGGACTGCCTGAACCTGCAAAAAACACAATAGCAAAATGCAGTAGCAAAGCCTTCTTTTTTCAGAAGAAGATTAAAATGGTAGCAGAGTCAAAATTAGAAGAAAAATCTAAATCAAATAATATAATAAAACAGTTCAAAATGCAATCTCAGAGCATGGTGTATAAGATGTGATCTATATCCTGGGAATAAAAAAACATACAGTGAGTCACAGTGCACTACTTTGAGTTAACTGAGAGAATAATACACTTCTGCATGGCACTGAAAGATCAACAAGATGCCCAATCAAGTTATCTTGAAAGGGTATTCTTCAACTGGTGGGCCACCACGGGGAAGGTCCATGCAAATAGCTTCTTACCAAGTATAGAATGTAGGAGGTTCTTAGAGTGGAACCTTTGATAATGACCTAAGGTCAAATGCAAGCCACATGTGGGAAATGTTGGTCCCAGTGTGGCCATATTCACTACTTTATGGATCTCAGCAGTTTAAGTGTAGGGTTATTTGGGGACAGTCTTATATTTGGAAATATCCACTATTTGAAGAGCCTTCTCCTCTATTTCTAATGTAAATATAACTCTAAGAAGAGAAACAGGGATGTCGAATTTTCTGATGCATAGCTGGCACCCAGATAACCTTTTTGTTTATTTAGATATAAATTAAAAATGAAAGTTACTTGTTTGTGTAAAAGAAATTCGCTCTTAATAAAATGTAAATAGTGTCCTTATCTTTATTATTATCCCATGGGGGACATTTACATGCATTTATATGCATCCCAGCAAGACATATCTGCTGTAAAGGATATTATTACTAAATTTCCATACCACCCAATAGTTGACACCCTTTGGGCAGTTTACAACACCAAATTAAAAAGGGATATACAGTACAAGTAGCAATAAACATATAATCATAAGTTTTCCATAAAAACTTGAAACCAAATTTAAAACACACAGTCACAAAGTTAATTTTAATCTGTTTACTCTGCTAACAAAGCCCTAGTAAGATAATGAAATGCCTTGCAGTAGAGGATAGTCATAATCTGCTATGGAAAGGATCTTAACGTTGGCGCCAAGCTGGCCTCAGTAGGGAGTGTGTTCTGTAGCTCATAGCTCCGGCCACTACTGAAAAGGCCATTGCCCTTGTTGCAAGCAGCCAAGTCTCTCTTGGGGTAGCAGTAGGAGGCAGGCCCCAGATGTTGATTGTAATGTTTGGGTAGACTGCACTTGGATGAAGTGTTCTATCAGGTATTGTGGTCTCAAGCCATATAAAGCTATTATTGCTGAAGGAGATTGATGATATGCATTGGGACATGCCTAAGGTATTTAGCAGAATATACTGGAAATCTAGATAAAGATTTATAAGTAGAAGTTCCATTTATGCTCTCTACCCTACCTCTCCATCTTTTGAAATGTATTGTTAGCACAGCTAGGCTTCTGTGTAACTACTGCCCCTATACACATTTCTTATGGCCTTGGAAAATAAGAATTCATTGTATGACATTTGTCTGCATTTAAGCAGTTTGAGAGGCTTTAGAAACTGCTTTTGTTTGTTCGTCTATTTTTTCTTAAGAAATATTTTTGTGAAGTCTTATTTGAACCTAGAGAAATATTATACTGGCTGCTTCTTCGCTGCTGCTGCTGCTTATTCTTCTGTATGTTAGTCTCCTTTAACTTTCAGCATAGACATCTAATTATATTTCATTGACATTGTTTACTAAAGAAAGAACAGGCTATATTCCAATTGTCATCAAGAATTATCATGGTGATGATAAGGGTTTCTTTGCTTTGATTTTCCGGTATAAATTTTATTTCAGTTATGTGACAAGGAAAGAAACCACTTGAAGCAAGATCTATGTTCTGTGTAAAATTCAGTGAGCAGCAAGATGAGATGCCTCTACGTGATGGAAGAAGCTTATGTTCCTCTCTAGAAATTAGTAGAGGTGATAGAAAATTCACCAATGAGACAAAAACTGTCAGTTCTGGAATGAATTTAGATTTAATATCTGACCTATCTGTACTCATAGCTATATATGCATAGAGTGAGTCAGAATAATTGCAAGTAGTGATGTTTTTAACAAATCTTACTCTTGGCTTGAAACAACCTTACAGTATTTGAAAGAAATGAAACAAACAACCTTGGTTAAAATGTAAAATACAAAACACAGCTTGATTTCAGGTTATTGTGAATATGTTGTATATGGAATACTGCTGTGAATTAGTTGTTTAAAAAGCAGAATGCAAAAGAAAGGCAAATTCCTAATATCCTTATGCACAGAAACCAGGCAGAGGTACAGAAATCATTCTTGGAAGTGTGCAGGAAGTAGGAAAATACAGTCCAATGGGATATAATCCAGATTGTGACCTTCTTGACTAGGGGAAGTAGGGGACGGAAAGACATTAATTTAAAAATGTAGCAGCAACTTTATTCTTTTTACTCAAAGGAGGGTGCAAGGGGTGGTGGTCTGGGTCTTTAACCCTTTGGTCCTTACTCTGATCTGCATTGGCAGAAAGGATTATAGCCCAGGACCACCACTCTGGATTAAGTCTCCTGTGCCTACCTTTGAGTGAAATAGAAAAAAGGGACTACTTTTATGAACTACATTTTAAAAATACTTTGTGTGTGTGGGGAGCTTTGACCTGAGGATAATAAATGATGTCATGAACACTCAGTAACAGTTAAGGGATCTAGCCTTAGTCTCAGGCTGGGTGTAGATATTGTATCCATAGTTTAAGGCAGCCTTGCCTACGAATACATTTTGCATGTTTTGAAAGAGAACTTCCAGCATCCATAATCATTAACCATGTAGGCTGGGGCTATGGAATTTAATTTCTAATGCAGCTGGAGGTTAGGAAGGGCAGCAAGCTGTGCTAAGAAAATAGACAGAAACCAAACACACAGGAATCTATCTTACTTTAGGTCAGACCCCAATCTTTCAAGTCTAATATTGCGCTCCTAACTGGCAGGGATTCACTGGGTTTCAGCTTTACTTGAAGGTGCCATGGATTGAATCTGAGATTTTTCCATACAAAGCATGTGCTCTGCTACCGAGCTGTATTCCTTTATCCTGTAGGTAGCTTAGAAGTGCAGAAAACGAAAGGTTGGATCCAGTCACACAGACTTCTTGTTTTCCTCCTCCCTTTTCTTCCTGTCCCCAAATTACTTCAGAAGGGGAAAAACAAATTCATGCTGCCCACGGTTTCCATACCACTGACACATTGTCATCAACAGATCTAACCCATTGTCTTGTTGTTGGAATATCCTTAGTTCTTATAAAGAAATACATCCAGTGATTCCCTGCAGGTATGCTTGAACTCTGAACAATTATATTTCATTGTATTTAATTCCAAGGTGAAACTAATTGTTACTATTTGCAAAAATTTACCCCAGGGAGAAATTTATTTTCCAAATAGTCCCCCTTCCCACAGTGATGGGATTAATGATGATCTCATTATTGATCACTGCCACTAATATTGTTTTTTGTGAGAAACATTTGGCATAGAGATAGCAGCAGATCTGAAAGAGGCAAAACCTCCCTTCTTGACTGGTTAGTAGCATGAATCCGATGTGTCAAACACAGTATGGCTGCATAGTAGCATGATAGTCAATCAGAATGCATTTCTAAACATTTCCCAGTTGCATAACGAATATAATCTGTTTGTTCTTCTAATGATAACTCCAGGAGGAATTGAATATAAAGTATTAATTAGTAAACACAAATACCATTATAGTATGAAGATATTCATATGGGAATTGCCTTTCAGTTTTAACTAATCTGAGCAACCTCTACATTATTGTAATATTTTTTTTGAATAAAAGAAAAATTCTTTGTTCCTTTCACCCCCTTTCACAAGAGTCTGGACTGCAGGAAAAGAAACTTTCATGCTCACATGGGACACTCCTGGACCTTTTGAATGAGCTCACTCTAAAGCTTGGCAACAGGAAGAAGAAATGAACCATCTAAAAGAGAAACTTCTACTAAATATGCTTAAGCCACTTGGATGAGTGAGTGAATATAAACTTTCTGTCAACTGATATTTCACTTTTGTCAGGGATCTCCAAGTTAAATCCTTACACTGAACCTAAATAAAAGTAAAATCCCTAGGGAGCAATCCTTAGATCCCCTATACATTGTCAAGGGGCCATAGGATCATTCAAATTTTCATCTCCAAGGCTGTTCCAACCCCAGAGCTGGGAATTGAAACTGAGCCCCCTCTTTTGTTTTTCACAGCAAGTATGGAAGAAACTACTCTGGCTGCTTTCCAAGGACAGAAAACCAATGGCAAGGTAGACAGGAAGGGACTGGGGCAACTGGAATATGACATATCCTGATGGAAAAGACACAGAAAAAGGCTCCTGATCAAGGAGCAGAAACATGCCCTTTAGGTAGAAAGACTATGATGTGTGGGATGGTTTAGTTTATAAAAAGTACTGAGAGAGAGGATAGAGGTCTACAAAATCTGGCATGGTTTTGAGAAAATTGCTTGGGAGGAGTTTTTCTTCTCTTATCATATTAAAACCCAGACTCATTCCATGAAACTGAGTGGTGCAAGATTCAGGATGGATCAATAGAGGTTCTTATTCAAGCAGTGCATAAGATGGAATGTGGAATTCACTATCATGTCAAGATTGCCACCAATTTGGATGGCTTTCAAAAGGGACTAGACAGATTCACGGAGTGGCCAATAGTCATAATGGATACATGTTGCCTCCCATACAGGAGACAGTGGCTGTGCCATTTGCTGGTGAGCATGTGTGGAAGGGTGCTTTAGCGCCCATGGCCATTTGCACCCATTTGCAGGCTTTTCACAAGCAGCTGGTTGGCCACTGTGAGAAGAGAATGCTTGAGTAGGTAGGCCTCTGTTTAATCCAGCATGGCTCTTCTAATTTCTTAAGGACAAGTCTTCCACCCCTCCTCATTCACTTGACACTTCTCTCCCTGCTACCGCTTGAAAAGCTTAATGACTTTATGAGAAACTTTTTTGTTTTTTTTCCTCTGAACTTGCCACTTTGGCAATCTTGAACATGGCTAGGAATGCTATTTTATGAAAATGCTTGGAAGTTCCTAAACTTGCAGGAGTGTCCCAAAAGTGTATTTTTTAAAAAATGTACATTTTCCTCCATAGACTAAATCATGGGTACACACTTTAAAAAGCTGCACTGGAATGCACACTTTTTCAGTTTGAAATGGAGGAAAAATGGTGATGCTTGGAATGGGAACAAGATGAACTGAGTTCAGAGGTGAAGACAGGAGAACCTCTATGAACTCAAGCCTCATTGATTCTCCTATCATCCTATAAAGGATGAAAAGGAGGAGTATATTTGGAGGGTTAGTGAAGATGGCTTGTAGATGGGTGGGATACCATCAAGTAGCCCAGAAGAATGATCTAATTTTCCTTATTTTATTTTTTGCTGATAAAAGCGTCTTGCTAAAACACCCCCCTCCCACCCAAAACTAAGCAAGCCACCCTTGCAAATAGAAAGGAAATATTGGACCGTTGGAGGAAAGGGTCTTTTTAATGTGAAGGTAGCCACTGGCAATGCATGTGTACTGTGAAAATTATATATGCATGTGGTACTATGCAAAGTTCAGATCTCCTCTGTTCTGCCAGATGATCGCCTCATTCTGGGCTGCCCCGGGCCTCCCTCACTGTTATAAGCATCTGCAGAGTGGACCAAAGTAAGAAAAGGGGGCTTGCAAAATAATTTGCAAGGTTCCTATATAAGCAAACCTACGCTTTGGTGTGTGTCCTGACTTGACAGTTTCTTAAGTGCCTGACCAGTTCCAAGTTTGAATCAATAGTGTCATAGCTGAGTAACAACACTATTCACTTAAATTAGCAGTCCTGCGAATCAATGAGCAAAAGTGGTAAGGCCAAGTGATCATGCTCAAATTCCACAACATGTTGTTTTGTTTGGTTGTTATGATGCTCACAGCCTTGAAGGCTTTCTATTCTTCATTAACTTTGAATAATTTCATTTCATGTCAAGCAGCTTTTCACCACTGCATCATCATCATAATCAGTATTTATTGTTTTGTGGAACAAGTTGTTGCTGTTTGCCATTTGTCAAATTTCCGCCTTGCTGGCTCTCTCCAGTCTCTAGGCTCCAGTCTCAAATAATTAACACTGGCCTAAAGGGATTGCTGCTAAATCCAGCAATTTGTATGTACGCTGAACGATTGTTTTTCAGAGAAAGTCCTCTGTTCAATTAGTGTTACGCAAACAAGGATCTTTCAGAATTTTGTATATCCTTTATCTCTGCCTTTTCAAATAAAGAAACAATTTACCTGCTCTCCCTACTCTCAAGACACCATATACTTGCCACTTCACTTGTTAATTGCAGAAAAGCAGCCTAGTCTTTTACAGACACAGGCTAGGATTCAAAGAACCACACAGCTAGCTCTGCAAGTCCAGCAGGGATTTTAGGATTGTGTTTGGTGAATATGGTTCCCCCAGCTTTTGAAATTCAGAGGAGATTGTAATATGCCAGGGGGAAGAATTTTGCTGTTCAAAGGGAATCCAGAGCCAGATCGCATAACATTTATGAGAGAGTACTTTTGTGGTATTTATGCAGAATGCATTTATCACAACTGGGGCACATGCTAATAAGTACAGTACTGTTTCCATTGTGTTGAAAAGGTGATCTTGTGCCATGCATGCCTCTAGTTGTGGAAGAAGTAGGAGGATGGAAAAGAAATGAGTGCAGGGAAATGGCCCTTTACAGATCATGTGTTTTTGTCTGTGTTTATTTCTTTTTAAGTCACTTTGCTACATGGAGATTTGCTGGCATGAACCAGTGGAGAGTTTTTAAAAAATTAAAAAAGTCTCTTCCTGACTCACAAAACATAATGGAGAAGAAGACATGGGGAAGTAAGAGGAGGAAGCTACTCACTCCTGTCCTCCCACTTCCCATGGGGTGAAGCCAGTGGGACCAGCATTCCGATTCTCCTCAACTCAAAAGCAGTTCCTGAAAGCAAGTCCAGCCCCTTCCCCATGCTGACTTTCTCATCAGTACCATTCATTGAAGTCCTCATGATTTGCTTCCAAGGCTGCTGAAGATAATACCATTTACTCCTGAATAGACATATGTTTTCAGCTAGTTGCTCCTTTAGGCACGAAGATGGAGGAGGCAATTGGGAAAGTGTGAAAGGACATTGCAAACTTTATTTTTTCAAAAGACAGGGTATGGGAAGAGAGATGTCACTTCAGAGGAAGCTGTCCCAGCTGTTTTAGGGACCCTGGAGGACAAACAGCCAAGCTCCTGATCAAGTGAACAAGAGTTTGGTGATGGAGTTCAGAAGGGGAGTCAAGGGTTTTTTTTTTCACTTTTTCTTTTTTCCTCTTACCCCCACCCCTTTTGTCACACTTCCATTTACTTGTAGGACTTTTAACCTTTAGTGAAGACAGGAGAAAGCACTGGCTGTTACAACATGCCCAACAGGGTAGAATCAAAAAGATAGCAGAAAGAATATAAAAAAAAAACTCCCCAGTGGGTGGTGACCTGCAGTGTCTGTGCAATGTTTATTTTTCTGCCTGGGGTCAACAAGACCTACATGTATCACAAATGCAAGTTAGCAGCCCTGTTAGAAGAAAAGGAGAGAACATTAGAGCAGTGAGTGTACTCTCTCAAGTTAATAAAAGATTAAGAGTTTTTGAACAGAGTAGTTGAACAGCAACAGCTAAGAGTAAGGCAGAAGATAGAAGTGCAACAACATACTGGGGCAAAAGAAGAGAATCCCAAGGAAAGGGCAAATGAGGCAGAAATTCCCTGGAAAGGGGTGATAGGTGCAGAAGAACTAGAAGACATTCTGCCCTGGTAGAAGTAGTGAAACTTTCAAACCACTTTCAGTTACTCAAGGATGAGGCTAGAGGGCAACCTCATGTGGAAGAACTGCAAACCATCCTGTGCAACACTGAACAAGAAGCTAAAGATCAACCAAGAAGTTGCAATGGTGCCAAAGCTTACCAGAACAAGAAGAGAAGGGTGTTAGTTGCGGGAGACTCTTTTGTGTGGGATGAAAACCCATGTATGTCAGGAAGACCCATGGACTCGTCAAGTATGCTGTTTCCCTGGAGGACAGATTAGTGATATAACAGAAAAATTACCAAAGTTCATACCGTCCTCTGACATGTATCCTTTCCTGAGGGTACAACTACTTAAACTACATCCACATTTAAATGAGTGTGGATGACAACATGGTAAGAAATGTCAAAGAAAATGCAGAAGTGCTCAAGTCCTACTTTGGCTTAGTGTTCTTTCAAATTAAGATCTATGGCATTCCTGATGATGGAGAAGTACAAGTTGAAGGAGAAGGATGGTAGCTCAAGATTGATAGGTAAATGGTCAAGGATCATCTAATTGGGTTGAATAAGTTCACATCTCCAGGACTGATGAACTCCATCCTAGCATTATAAAGGAGCTGGCAGAAGAACTCTCAGAACTCTCAGTATTATTTTTGAGAAAACTTGGAGAACAGGGAAAGTAGCAAATGACTTGAGAAGGGCTAATGTTGTCCCTTTCTTCAAGAAAGGAAAAGAAGAAGAACTTGGGAACTACAAACCAGTCAGTCTGACAATAATCTCTGGGAAAATTCTGGAACAGATTATAAAGCAGGCAGTCTGCAAACACTGTGAAAACAATGCAGTGATTACTAGAAGCCAACATGAATTTCTCAAGAACAAATCCTGCCAAACCAGTCTGATTTCACTTTTTTGAATGGGCTGTGTTGGACTGTAGAAATACTGTGGACATGATCTACCTTGACTTTAGCAAAGCTTTTGACAAAGTGTCCAGTGATATCCTCATTAGAAAACAAGTGAAAAGTTTGCTAGATAAAACAACAATCAGGTGGATCCACAGATGGCTATAGAATCATACTCAAAGAGTACTCAGCAATTGCACATTCCCATAACAGGGAGGGGTACTGCAGGGCTCAGTCCTGGGCCCAGTGCTTTTCAACATTTTTATTAATGATTTAAATGAGGAAGTACAAGGAACGGTTATCAGAGTTTCAGATGTCACAAAACTAGCTAAGCCTGGAAGACAGAAACAAGATTAAGAGTGAGCACTGAAAACAGCAGGATGAAATTTAGGAGGGACAAATGCCAAGTTCTGCACCTAGGAAAAAGAAACCAAATGCACCATTACAAAATGGGGGATACTTTGCTCAACAAGACCGCAAATGAGAAGGATCTTGGCTGCATTAATAGAAGGATCACTTCTAAACTATGTGAAGTACTAGTTTACTCAGCACTGGTTTGGCCTCATTTGGAATACTGTGTCCATTTCTGGGCACCAGGGTTTAAGAAAGATGCTGACAAGTGGTAAAAGGTTCAGAGGAGGGCAACAAGGATGATTCAGGGACTGGAAACAAAGCACCATAGGAAGAGATTGCAAGAACTGGGCATGTTTAGCCTCAAGAAGAGAAGACCCAGGAGAGATATGATAGTACTCTACAAGTACTTGAAAGGGTGTCATAAAGAGGAAGACCAGGATATATTTTTGATCTTTCCAGAGTGCAGGACATGGAATTAAAGGCTCAATTTACAGGAAGCCAGATTCCAGATAGATAGAAGAAAAAAATTTAGAGCAGCACTACAATGGAACCAATTCCTTGGGGAAGATGTGGGCTTTCCCACACTGGAGGCACTAGAGTCATAGCCTTCTGAAATGGATGGTTCAATTTGGAGTCCTGTACGAGCAGGGGGTTGGACCCGATGGCCTTCTGGTCCCTTACAACTCTACCATTCTATATTACATTTACTTTCCCATTCACTGGGAAGTTAGAGCTGTGTGTGTGAGAGAGAGAGTGAGCGAGAGAGAGAGAAAGATGCTATGAGGGGTGGATAAGGGAAGTGGAAAACAGAACTGAAGCATGGCCTCATAACTGTTGCTCTTTTGTTGAAACCAGATAAGAGACTTCATTTCCCCTCTCAGCTCACATGCCAACTGAAGCCACACCCTCTGGTCCTATAACAGTACCACAAGTTTAGCACTCACACCAGAGATAAAACTGCAACCCATTAAAAAAGTCATGATATAATTTTGTAGAAATATGGGATACAGAACTGGAAATAATGTGAGGAGACGCATCATTTGATGTGCCAGTGACTCAGGGCTTACAATGCCATTAGAAGTACCTAGATTGTCCCCAGATACCACTGGTTTATGCTACACTTCAGTGAACCTTCAGTAGTTCTTTGCATCACAGCTGAAGAATCCTCTGCTATGCTGCAAATGAACTAATTTACTGTGGCATAAATTTAGTGATCATGGTTTGCTGCTGTAGCTTGCATGAACTACAAGCTTATTATTTGTGTAGATAATACAAAACCAGCAACTGTATCTTGCGTAGGTTATCTAGGGCCCAAACTGCATATGACTCAAAAATTTATGTAACCTGATCCCTGATGGTCCATCTAGATGAGACAAAGCTGCCCAGGAACATTTAACCTTTTCCCTATCTGTAATTTCTTTGCTCCAGGTCTCTCTTGGGTACATTGTCTACTCTGGAGATGAAACACATATTTAAATCCCCACAGCAACACAAGCTACCGAGAGCATGACCTGGCAATGAGAAAGCAGGAAAACAGCACATCTCTCTCTACTACTTCGCCTTCTTCACTGAACCCAGTCCAAGTTCTTTACAATCAGCCACTGGGTCACTGCTACATGAATATGCTAGTAATATATAGCACTAGTAGGTACAAGTTTGCATGATTCAGCTAATTGACAAAAACACCCCCAAATAACTTAAGGGAGAAAGCCACAAACTCATCACATTAGTTCTGCTTTCAGATTACCCCTGCTTCTTTAGGGGTTTCTCTTTTTTCAGTATCTTTGGATCACAGCTCAACAAACCACATTTTTAAATGTGGGAGATAATTTTTTCCCCTAACTATAGGTGTTGGAATACCATTAGCAAAACATATATATTGTACTATCTAGCACAGTGCTTGGCTTTTAGCAGGAACAGAATACCACATGGTAATAATTCCACAGCTTTTCCTAAATTGAAGAATGTTCTTTTTCACACTTCATCCACCTGAATTTGCTTCTGGAAAGCCAGCTTCTTAAATATCATGCTTCTATCCCAGATTTAGTTTTTGACATATTGGCTACAATCACAATGTTCTTGGGACCTTTATCATTTGGCTTCCAGCAGTATCTCTAGCTCAGCTAGTTTGCACAAGTATAAAAAACCCTCCCAAGTATAAAGAACTGAGAAGTAAACTTGCTTACTGACTCAAGTTTATGAGGAAAGCTGGTGATCGGATAAATCTCTTGTGCATGAACTAGTTGCTGCATGCTGACATGGCAAGACTGCTAGTACTTACAGGGGTTTTTTAAAAAAAATGTAAATTATTGTTATGTAGATGGCAAACTGGCAAAGCTGGACTCAAAGATAGACCCTGAAGAATTGCATTTATAATATTTTCAGACACATTATGTGATTATTTATGTTTTTAACTTTTTTAAATTAAAGCCTGGATGAGAATATATTTAGAATCTAGGCTGGGATGGTGTTTATGATAATCTCCTTCACTTTGTTAGAATATCAACTTTTCTGACTTCTTAGGACTGCTTTATGTCATTACGTATTTTTATATATAGCCAGATAAGTATGTACTTAAATATGTTCCTACGGGGCAAATATATTTTGAGTCCTAGTGAAATGAATTAGACTTTTATATAATATTTAAACTGAAACTATATACTTGGGATTTTTACTAAATGAATTTCACGGCATGACTCAGATTGCATTATGTCAGTGCAAAATTACACGGTAGATTGCAGTGTTTTTATGTTTGTACTCACTCAGCATTACAATGCCAGAGTGGTTATTTGAGAAAGGAGGACGGGAGAAGCAATCTAATGTTTTGTTGTTCGCAGTTCCTGGATCAAAAGTTACATTTTCTGAAAGAACATTGTGTTACGCACTCTGAGGCATTCCAATTATAGTAATGATAGTATTTTTAGCATTTTCAATAATTTAGTGACTGTCGGGGCATCCTGAGGTTTAGAGCCTGAGGGTCAGGGTCCAAGTCAGGCAAAAAGTATCCAAAGGCAGCTGATATATATTGGTGGTTGCAAGATCCCTGGCTCTGTGAGAAAAATTCATCATCTTTCAATATCATTCAGGATCCGGCAAGCATGTAGGAAATCTTGGAGAGGGAACTGGGGGAAGAATATATCATGAAATTTCTTAGTAATCCCCACTTTGGATTTGGGGAAGATTCAAATTGGTCTGAGACTCTCCTTAACCTGTGAAAGGATTCATTAGACTAACTTTTTAGATTTAAATAGGCAGATTGTTCTAGCAAAATGTACCTGATTTACAGATGCATAATTCTTTAATAATATGTTTGGTGGCTTTTCTCTAGATATACTTGGGTAAAATTGATTTTTTTGATCTGACTCTTCCATTTTAGTTTGGCTATGGCGTAGAATCAGCCTTGCCACTGTGGACTATTCTAGAGAATGGATAGGGTTGTTTGCAACCCTGTTGGTTTTCCTGGACTTCCTACCAGCTTTCAATATCATGGACCATGGTCAGGGATCTCACTTTCCACCCTCACCGTGGAGAAAAGAGAGCCAATGTCTAACAAGCAGAATGAGCATAAGGCATCATGTGAACCTCAAACAGAAGTGGGAGAGAGGTTGGACTTCCTTCCTTCCTTCCTAGCCAATGGAATTTAGTTTGGCAGTATACTTCTTCTTCTTCTTCTTCTTCTTCTTCTTCTTCTTCTTCTTCTTCTTCTTCTTCTTCTTCTTCTTTTTTTTACAAATGCAGAGCCACAATAAGTTCCTGCTTCCTGTCTCCAGCTCAGAGATGGATGGAAGAAGTCTGGGCATGTGCCTAATGGATTTTAGACTTGGAGTACCTGTCAGGTGCAGGACCAGAGCAACCTAGAGGAGAGGCACTTAGGCTTGCTATGCCCTGATGGATACCCTGATGGAGTGTTATTGGCTGTGACTGTAGAAAAGAACTGGGTGTAGAACAGAAGGCAGATTTTGAAATGCTTGGGCTCCAGCTCCCAGAAGTTCATGCTAATAATGTCATTGTCAAGAACATTAGGAGTGAAAGTACCAAACATCTGGGGATCTACTATATCCCTGGCATAGAGGCAGAGAAAGCCTTCCCTTTCCATGTCTAGACTGTTGAGAGGCAGGAGCTTGCTTTCTGCCTCTCCAGTTCTAAGCTCCAAAGTGGGAATCAGAGCAAGATTCCCCCTACTCTATGCTACATTTAAGAGCTGGGAGAAAGTTCTTGACAGGATGGACCCCCTTGCAGAAGGAGGAGATCTGAAAGATACCATTTTTTTTTTTTTTGCCCAGTACACCCAGTCAGTTGTCCCCTGACCGTGGTTTTCTTCTGGCTGGTCTGGTAGCCTGGTGTTGCACTAGTTTCAGTACTTCCAGGTAGCCTGCACTCTATTTTGGTGTTGTTTCCAACTCATGGCCTTTGTCTTAGGAGATTCCAAAGCATTCTTGTCTGTCCTATGATGTTTAACACCTGGTTAGAGTTATTGTATTACATCATCTGGAGATTTGGGCTAAAGTCTCATTAGTATGTTGACACTAACTCTGCCTGTTATTTCCATCCTCTAATACCAGGGATGCTGTGAAGGACATGAAGTAGGCAAAACTTGCAGTCAGAAGGAACCTTGCTGATATCTCCTTTTAGTGATCAGAAATAAGAGTGAGGAGTCAGATCTCACGTGAGGTCCTATAGACTGTCTTCATGGTATAGTGTCCAGGCACTTTATCAGTAATAAATACTATACCTGACAAAGGGGTCTGCCTTCCTCTTCCCACAGCTTGCCAAAGACAAGTAAGTTCAGCTACTGAGCAGTCAATATTTTTGCATCTCTATTCGCTACAAGGTTTAAACTAGTCTGATCAGCAACTGGTTGGCTGCTTTTGTTAAGCTGAGTCCAGTGGTTAATCAAAGTGCAATTATAAAAGTGCAGGAATTTGAATGAATTGATGAATTAGTAATGGTTATTAGTTAAGGATAGGCCTGTAACGTTAGGGGCTAAAAGACAGCTTCTGAAACAGTAAATCTACTGTCTTTCATGAGACTGCACTTGAGCATTCCTCTGGTCATCATTGCCAAGAACCCAGTGTCAGACAAAATGGAAAGAACTAAAGAGTCCCTGGACAGGGTGCTAGCTGTGCATACAGCAGAATGTTTAATGTGGCATGCTTTGACTGTCAAAAAGCTATTTTACAATTCATTCAAAATCGTCACTTCAGTCCCTGTGGCTATGATACCTAGGGGTTCCAGGCATTTCTAAGGACCATAGAAATGTAAAGGGTATGTGTTGAATGAATTTTTGCTGTAAAAGTACAAGGCATGCAGAAAGGAAACGAAAAGGTTACTTTTAAAGCAAAGCAGATAATACTAGATCCAAAAATAATCTTTGTAGAATGCTGCTTCTTAAAAGTGCTGACCCATGCATGTAGAGACTTGCAAATGACAAGTTATCAATGCATTTAATTAAACACAACCTATAATGTTAAATGGCTTTCTTGGGTCAATACCCCAGCTTCAGCCATTTTTATAGCCTCTTGCTTCAGTTTGGTAAGTAATTTTAAATCAGGGAAGGATTTAAAATAATTTAAATGCACCTTGAAAGATGGAAGAAGTGTTCTACCAGTATAATTTGAAAGTCATCTTACTGAAGGAAATTCTAATTTGTTCATTTCCTTTTTTGCACAGTTGGTAATTTTTCCTACGTAATCATTCACACTCAAATGTGAATGATTGTATATAAAAGGTGAAGAAACTGGAGTGGGAAAGAATAGAATGCCTTTTAAAATATATCCCATCAAAAAGATCTGATACCCTTGGACATAACCCTATTTTAAAAATTTACTTAAGCTCGTTGTAGAAAATAAACTTTAAGTCAGCCCTCTGTGAAATAGAATTACAAGGAGAGAATTAAGAAGAAATATCCTGAACTATTTAAATTTAGGAGAAGAACCATTAGGAAAATTGGCATTACAATGATGTTTTGCATCTACTGTGGGTTCATAAATTAAACTATCAGGCTCAGTGTTGATTTCCAAAGTGAAAGAATCTCATCCTGATTAATTTGTATTTTAATTGCTTTCCCCAAAAAGAACACAATTAAGAAAATCTGATTGTCAGGTTCTGAGCTAATGTACACCACTACATCTCTAGAGAAGTAAATGAAGCAGTTGCCATTTATGTTTGCTGAACATTAGCATACAGTTTAATTCAGATTAAACCATGGAGCAGTGTATAGCAACTGTATATACTTTCGCTATGAATTATTTCTTGGAAATATAAATGAGTTTCAACCACTTCAAAGTGATCAGCATATGCACTAAAATACTTCTGTGGCACCATAAAAAGACAGTTTCTTGTGTTCTATGATGAATTCTATGTAAACAATAGTTTAGCAAATTTTTAACCATGGCACAGTTTGCATTAGGAAGATGTGTTTGAATTCAAAATGACGGTGTCATACTAAATTGGTTCTGTCCCTCCTCTTTTATAATAATCTTTGCTTTAAAAACAAAATAAGGATAAACATAATTATAGTATGCTAAATAATTAAGGATTGGGCAACTTGCCAAAAGCTTTGAGAGGTGAAAGACTGGTTATCAAACCAGTGTTGGATTCACTGTTACGTCTTTCATGCAAACTGAGATGCTTGGTTTATGCTGCCAGTGAATACCTTGCAGTAACTTCATTTGAATTTTTTAATCTTTTTTTCGCCTGTTGTACAGGTAGTCAAGCAGTCACTGGGAAAAGTTTCTGTTTTGCATGGTTTGTCCCACCTGCGTTCCTACAGAATTCTGTATCTGCCACTTATTTGGGACCAAGCTGTTTTACCACTAATGATATGGTGGAAGACAAAAGACAAAAAGAAATAAATTCTGTAGCTGCATTTATTCAGTGTGAGACAGATGGTTCCTGTGCTTTTGCATTCTTGTGTAGAAAAAGATGTAATGACACCAGCGCTAGTATACTTTGACAAGTTTGCAATACAATTTGAATTTCACTTTCTTTCTGTTCACTAAGATGACCTTCATGTTCCATTAACACAGAGCAATCAGAACACTGACTGATCTAAACATGCCTTTCGGTTGTTGAACCCTGAAGAAGACAAGACCAGATGAGGTCCTGTGTGATAGACCTTTCCCCTTTTTACCTTCCTACAGCTAATAGAGAGGGGCTGTCTGGCTATCTGTTTTAAGAAAACAGGTGGTACTGCCGTCTTTTAAAAAGTTGGCAATTAGACTTTCGCTGAAGAAACTTCATCAGAGAGCCTCTGGCTGTGGGTTGGCATACAAACATGATAAATAAATAAATCTGACTAAGAAGATGCAGATGGCTACAGCTTGGTTGCTAAATGCCTAGTTTCTGGGCAAGAGGGTAGAATGCTTGCCACTAGCCAATTCCAGACACTCTTGGATGAAACTGAGTGTGAGCCTGAATAGCTCTATGTATTTCTGGATATGTCCTATGCAGTCATAATATCCTTCCGGACTTCGTTGTCTGGCTGGTGTTAGAGTTATTATTTTGCTGTGAATTTTCTCCTGCTGGGATAATTGGTTGCAGAAGAATGGGTGCTGGAGGGTTACTGTTGTACCCCTTGGCAGTTACACTGTGAGCTCCCATCAGATTCTTATTTTATTTACCATACCAAGCTGGGATGAAGATATATTAGCATCCACTGGTAGAATTCTGGGTGATTTGCATTAGATCATTGTGCAGCAGCAATGTAGAGTGTTGGAGTGTGGTTTGAGAAATCTAAGTTCTAGTCAGAACTAGAATGGGCATGAATCTCACTGGTTGATTTTGGGTCAGTTATGAACTTCCATCAAAACCTACCTAACAGGTTTGTTATGAAGATAATTTGGAAAGTAAGAGGAGGATTATGTAGGTCACTTGCTCGAAAAAGACGGTCCGGATACTTCAACTGGTTCAAAATAGAGCTGCCAGGCTGCTGACGGGGACTGGACGTTATGTTCACATGACTCCAGTTCTCCATCAGCTTCACTGGCTCCCCATTGAAGTCTGGGCCCAATTCAAGGTGTTGGTGATGACCTATAAAGCCCTAAACGGCTTGGGTCCTGGTTACCTGAAGGAGCGCTTACTTCCATATATGCCCGCCTGCCCCTTGAGATCAGTGGGAGAGGCCCTTCTCTGGGAACCCTCCGTGAAAGAAATTAGGCGGGTGGGTACTCGGAGGAGGGCTTTCTCTGCGGTAGCGCCTAAGTTATGGAATGGGCTCCCCAGAGAGGTCCGCCTGGCGCCGTCATTATTTGTTTTTCGGCACCAGGCGAAGACCTTTTTATTTAAGCGGCATTTTAAATGTTAATATCATTGAATTTTATTTGGCCAGGGCGGCTTATGTTATTCCAATGTATATATTTTAATTGTTATTGTTTTAATTTATTGTGTATTTTATTATGTTGTGAGCCGCCCCGAGGCTACGGCAAGGGGCGGCATAGAAATGTTTTAATAAATAAATAAATAATAAATAAAAGGGGTATAAATATAATAAATGAATGAACGACTTGATTCCTAAATGTATATCAACAGGAAGAACAAAATATCTTTTCCTCCTCCACTTTCTAAATTGGGTAGCTGTATTCAGTATTAGGTTTCATGTTTATGCTTTGTTTTTATACCTTATGGTTTTAATTTTTACTTATAAACCTCTCAGGAAAGCTTAATTACTGGCTACATATAAATGTTGTAATTAATTAATTAACACCTACAGTTTAATGAGAAACTTGTTAGTTTCTGCAAAGCTGGCACAATAACATTTGACAAGTTTGTATGACATAGAGAATAGAGAAACTATAGTTTGCAGAATTGCCACTAGCTCCAAGCATTCTCTGGACTCTTCCTTGCATGAAGCAACTTAATGTAAGCAGTGATAAATATAATGGAACTGCTTGTGGATGTGTGAGATTCTCAAACTGAGTTGTGTAAGTTTCCTTATTTGATCAGAGTCTCATTCATTGTCTCCTTAATTCAGAACAACATTTCTGATAAAAATTAACAGAGTGGAAGGAAATGATTCCTCAATTGTTAAGCAAATGAAGTGTAAAAAGCATAGTTTCTTTCACAGAGCCATTACTTTACTACTGCAAATATAAATACTGCAAATTAAAGCAAAGTGGCTAACTTCAGCAGGTGTCCTAAACACATCAGATACTTCAGGCAAACATTTGCTAATTTTTACATGTCAGATCTCAGGTGAACTCATGTTGTCCACCAATAAGCAAATCAACCCAAGTGGGGAAAATAGCACATTCAATTTTAGGTCTTCTATGCTGGCTCTGTAGCAGAATGAGATGTACCATACAATTAAGAAGCTACATGATGTCAAAAATGTATCTTTGACACTTACATTTACCTTGGTCTTTGCTGTTGAGTTCAAAGTTGAAAGCAGAAAATATTGCAATAGGGATGACTCAACAGGTTGTTTTGACCTCAGCAGCTATAGCATTTCATAATGTAAGTTTATGAATGCATCCTGTTGTTAAGGAGCAATTAATTCACTATGCTGCCCACTAAGAGAACTAAGAAAAAACATGGTTATTTGCAAATGTCCTACTTTTGTATTCAGTTGTGTTTATCTGCTCATGGAAGTCTTTCAGTTCAGCATGAATAGAAGGAGGAGAGGCAAGTTTCAGTGATTATTCCTTCGCATTGCAATTCCTGGTAATTCTCTCATATCTGCTATAGAGATTTGCGGGGGTTGTAGAAATGGAAAGGTCTGTAGTGGAAATGGGGGATACCAAAAAGCCCTTCTCTTCCTTTTCTGTTCAAAGAGCCTTCTGTGCAGAGATGGAGACAACTAGATATAATCCGTAGATGTACAGTTTGTATTTCTGCATCAGTACTCTTAATTGTGAATCCTCTTTAAACTTTATGTAGTCAGATACATAAGCTAGCAAAGATAATTACATAATGACTATATTCATGAAAAATAGGTAGGAGAACTTTCATTTTTGAAGAAAAACTTCTTTTGGACCATGTTTGCTGGGTTATTTTTATAAAGATTCTGCCTTAGTTCTCAGAATTATTTTTAGAATTACAATTTTGAAATTACTTTTTAATCTGGTTTCTTACTTTTCATGAGGTGACTTAAATCAACTGCATCCAAATTTATTTCATACACATCTTAATTATATATAAATTTTGTGGAACTCATGTTACGCAATTTGAATTTCAATTTTACTTTGCCTGTTTTTATATGCCAAACAATTATTAGTTTGGTCTGTAAACTGAAATAAAATCAGCTTTTTATGGTGAAAATGATCCGTCATCTTTTAAGATTTAGCATTTTTGATAAACAGAATCACAGGCTACATCATGGTTAGCAACTGTGAATAAGTGCTGATTAACACCTCCTTTCTTTGTTAACATGGTTACATACATATGTGTGTGTGTAGACACAAGTTGGAGTTTCTTGTCATATAACTTGCATTTATAGACATGCACATTATTGAAATGTAGCTATAAGTACCACATGAATGTTATAGCATGAACACAAGAGTATTTTTGCAAGCACTGTATTGCTTACTGGAGTATTTAATTAAAATTAGCTGATAGTTGCAAAGTCTTTGGTTATGTGAACGGAAACTATCTTATTAATGCCATTAAAAACAAAGAAGTATCCAATATATTTTCCTTTGGAAGTGGCCTCTCTGGAATTAAAAGCTCAGATTGTTAATTTGGTAATTAGCAGCCGGGATATAATCATGGAGAGACACACAAAATCCATTCCAATTATGTTCAGGGGACGTTACAGTATTCTAGGATAAGTACCATTTTGGAGGGTGGAAAACCAATGGAGGAGGATGAGATCATGTCAGAAAGTGCTTCTCTGCCTACAGTGCCCCATTCCTAGGCTGCAAAGATGGGGAGACACATCCTTTAGATTGAGGGTGGGGTCAAGAAATCATAAGACTTTGGCATGCATTTTGGGTAATGGGGAATTTTAAATATATT